TTTGCTCTTCGGATCTTTATATAGACTACAGCAGCATAGGCTTTTGTGCTTGCATCACAAAAACCGTGCAGTTCAATTGAGACGTTTTCTTGTGTTTGTAGCCAGCGTGGTACTTTGATGTCACTAATGACTTGGAGTTGACCTTTTATACATTGCCACTCGTCAATAATATTTTTAGGTACAGCTTCATCCCATAAAATATTTGTCTTCCAAACGTCTTGAAAGAGTAATTTTAGCTTGACTGTAAATGGAGCGAGCCATCCTAATGGATCAAACAATCGAGATAATTCAGATAAAAGTATCCGCTTGGTAAGCTTTGTGTTAGAATAACTTGTTATGTTTGGCTGGAAGGTGAAATAGTCTTCTTGAGGACACCACCTTAAGCCCAGAGCTTTGGTAGTTTCAGCTTGTTTGAAATCAAAAGCTTCTTGCTGTTTCTGATCGACGTCAACGTCTCTTAATAATTCTGATGAGTTTGACTTCCACTTGCGTAAGTTAAACCCTCCTGATTTTAGAAGTTTTATTAGATCTTTTTGAAGTCGTCTTGCTGAGGCTAAGGAAGAGCAGCCGTGCACCAAGTCGTCCATAAAGAAAGAATTTTCCAGTACAAAGGGCGCAGAGCTATCTTGATAATTATTTTTCTCATCATTAGCTAATCGTTTAAGCGTCATCATGGCGAGGAACGGCGCCGCCTTTGTACCGTAAGTCACCGTAGTAAGATTATATTCCTTGATATTTGAATTTTTATTATCCCTCCAAATAATACACTGTAAATTTTGATCTTGTTTATTGAGCCAAATTTGTCGGAACATCTTTTCTAAGTCAGCCGTAAATGCAAATTGATGTTGTCTCCACTTGATAAGGAGATTTTGTAGATCTTGCTGTAAATTTGGGCCCCTGAACATGGTATCATTTAAGCTGCACCCTGATGAAGTTTTTTCGGAAGCATTAAAAACTACGCGAAGCTTAGTAGTACTGGAATCTGCTCGTATGACGCCGTGATGAGGTAAATAACACTTCAACTTGCAATCGGAGCTAGCCGGTATCATATGACCGAGCGATAAGTACTCGTTTATGAATGACTTATAATCGTTTGCGAATTCAGCGTTTCTTGTAAATTTATTTTCTAATTTATTAAATTGTGCTATGGCCTTCGACTTAGAATGACCTAATTTTTCTTGATAGTTGGATTTTAGTGGAAGTCTCACCTCATAGCGACCATCTTCCCCTCTTGTTGTAGTAGATTGATAAAACTTTATGCATTGCTCATCTTCAGTTGATAGTTGAGATTCCTCGGAAATTTCTTCTATTTGCCAAAAGTTTTGAATATCCTCCATGTCTTGATTATGAAGGACTACATTGCATTGGAAGGTCCTAGCGTTACCACTCAAAATCCACCCAAGTTGCGTTTGTTGGGCGGTGGGTAAAACTGAATTATATCTACATATACCATCCATTAAAATCATAGAATATACGTCGGCCCCTAACAATAGGTCAACGGGGCGACTAGTGTAAAACTTAGGATCGGCTAATTTAATTTGATCCAGGTATGACCAATCAGGGCAATTAAACGATTGGCTTGGCAAGTTCTTGATAAGCTGCCCCATGATCAAAGCATCAGTTGCGAACGAAAAGTCGTTTATCATTGACCTACATTTGATATTAATCATCCCTTTTCCACTGCTTTCTTTATCGCCGATCCCGGAAATAACTCCAATACATTTTTTTCTAGGTAATCTTAAAAGCTGCGCTGCACTCTCGGTTATAAGTGATGTTTGAGAACCTTGATCTAAGAGGGCGCGCATAACATAATAAGAACCGTCTATTGCTTGGATCTTGATCATAGCGGTAGGCAACAGAACTTCAACGGAGTCGCTCTGAAGCGACACGTGTGAACTACTTCGCACTTGATTTGCGTCGTTTGCATTTGTGCTATTGAGCGCACTCGCCCCGCGCATTGGTGTTTCGCTGCTTATCGTTGGGCGGGCAGATTGCGTAAATGCATCATGCAACAAACTGTTGTGATCTTCCTTACATTCACGACAACATCTTTCGGACTTACATTCCTGGCCACGATGATTAAAAAGACAATTGGGGCACAGACTGAGCTTGGTAACAGTCTTAAGTCGGTTGTATGGCGTCATGCCTAAAAAGTTTTTACAAAAATAAATACCATGTTCATTATTATTGTTGCACAATGAACATTTTGCTGAAACGACTTTCTTGCTGCTAGTCGAAGGCGCCGATTTCGTCATAATTTTGCTACTTGATGAAAATGCACTTTTGTAGTAATTAGGTTTCTGATTATTATTGGTCATTTTTGTTGCTACTTGATATTTTTGTACAGAATTGTCTTGCTTTCTGCGAGATGCCTCTAGAGTAGTAAATTTTAATTCTAAAAATTGTAATAGCTCCTTTAATATTGGCAAATCTCTCGGGTTCTTTACAGACTCAATATAGTCCGTATAAGATTCCGCATCTAATTTTTGCGTTAAAAGATATACAATAATGGGGTCCCACGTGCTGATATCAACCCCTAAATTTTTTATTGCATTGAGACACTCCTTAGTTGTGTCATGCATTCTTTTTAATCTGCGTTTCGGAACATGTTTTTCTATAATTGTATATATAATAGTATAAAAAGTTGAAACTGCTCGATTCACATCCTCCAGGCCCCTGAAGGTTTCGCTCCAATCAAGAGCAGATAGCTCTTTTTTAATTGAGTCATAATCTGCTTTATAAAAATTAAAACTTTCCTTTCTGTTAGGCATAAGTCCATGATCATTATTAACGGAGAGTGGAATAGTAACTTCAATACAAGGGTGGTGATTATCCAGTCTACTTAACAGATCTGAAGGTTTAGCTACACATGCAATTTCTATGTTGCTTAAGACCAAGTCCAATATTTTGTCTGACTTATTACAAATGTTGTTACATTGGTACAATCCATTTAAAGACATAAAGTCGACTAGAGAATATCCTAAACTACTTTCATAATTGGTTGGCGTTAAATAACTTTTGTCACTGTGAGATTTCCAATGTATGTGGCCGAGGTTAAAATCACCCATTATAACAACAAAATCCGAATGGCACAACACATCATCAACACTGTCAAGAAATATTTGTTGCCTCTCCAAGCTGGTTGGAGGCGGCAAGTACACTGCGCAAATAGATAGTGTTTTCCTCTGACCGTTGATTTCGGTTGTTACTTTGACCCATATGTCCTCACAGCTAGATTCCCAGTTTTGGATGCGCAAAGACTGAAACTCACGCGAAACAGCAATAAGTACCCCACCTCCATCCTGCTTAGAGTTAGAGGAGCACACTCTGTCTCTACGATATACTATATAGCGTGAGTCAAAAAGTTCACTACTGGAAATACTATTATTTAGCCATGTTTCTGTAAACACTACAATTTTATAGTCTGAGAGAAGAATATTATCATAAACATCGCGGACCTTTGTGCGAAGGCCACGGACATTCTGATAGTAAACATTGAATTTTAAAAAACAATACACCAAAGTATTCAATGCAAATTATCATATCTAACTAATTATCTTATTAAGGTTCTCTCGACTTTGAATAAGTTTACATTCACTTTCTTCATCTTTTCTGACAAATATTCGGCCATTACGTACCCATGTAAATTTGTATCCAAACTCTTTAGCTCGTAAACGAGTAGCAGCATGTAAAGCTTTGTTTACTGGCGAAAGGTGTTCACTAATATAGACGGGATTGCTTTTGCCGCCAAAACCCAGCTGATGCGAGTTTAGTTTATCATTAGGGTTACTCTTATTGAATTTTGTTACAGCAGCAAGTACTGTATCGCGATGACGCGGTGTCCGCAGTTTGACAATTACAGTGCGAGGCCTATCGTCATTTCTATTCATCTTTGCAACCCTAGTCACCAACATTATATCATCATCAGTAATGTCAGCGTCTACAACTTTAGTGATCTGCGAAAATGTGTTAGTAAGATTTTCTGCCTTGTGTTCCGGGATTCCATTAATTTCGATATTGCTTTCTCTCATATTTTGTTCTAGTAAATTTAATCTAATCGAAAGATCCGTGACAGTTGATTTCAGCTTCACATTGTCGCACTCGAGAGCATGAACAACTTAACTTTTTTCTTCAAGCATTGTTTTCATTTCTTCATACTTTTGATTGAAGAAAGTCACGGCGTCGCGCATTCCATTAAATTGTTCTTCTAGAGACTTTAATTGAGCTGTTACCTTAGTCGTAATAGTGTCTGCTAAAATGTCACGTAGCTTTTCCTCAGTCAAGTAATTGTCAGTGTGCAATACTTCAGTAGCTTCAGACACTGTACCTGATGCATGTCGTTTTTGTCTAACCGTAACATTCTTTGTTTCCGATGTAAGTGTCGTATCGATATCTGAACTTATCTGAGTTTCTAGTCGAGTCTGTGCCTGAATGGGTGTGTTCAAATTTCCAGTCTTAGGCATTTTGCTGTTACATTCGGAACACTTCCAGTTTCTTTTTCTCTCTTGATTGGCGTAAAAACTATTAAAGCGTTGTGAATTCACTCCAGCACACTCAAGGTCATACTTTTTCTTACAGTTCATGCATTCTAAGTATTCTCTAGTTTGTATGGTGTTCAAGCAACCAGCACATTTGCCAAAGCTAGGCACCATCTTATGACTATATGGTGCGATTATAAATAAAAATCACACTAATATTATAAAGGCGAAAGTTTGTGAGTATGTGAGTGTGTATGTTTGTTACTTCTTCACGTCTAAACGGCTGGAACGATTTTAATAAAATTTGGTGTGGAGTTAGCTTATACCCTGGATTAACACATAGGCTACATTTTACTGCGGGAAAATATCTTATTTCGATGGGAAAATCGATGCAAATGAATTTTGTTTAAGTAGGTACATATTTTTTGACATTCATGTCAAAGCTATTTTGATAGATTAATATTTCATACATATTTCTAGGACAACAATATTGTTATATTTTTTTTGTGTATTTATTTAATTATGACTCACAATTGTAAATCAAATCGTTCACAGAGCTCACAAAGAGCTTCATCCATGAAAATTGCAAGACAGCAAGAATCCACTTATGATACTGAACAGCGCAGACGTGACCAAGCAACACGTCAGGCAGAAGTCAGAACTGGAGAAACTTCTGCGCAAGCTGATGCTCGGCGTCTGGAAAATCCTATCCGCATAGTTTCTCCGCGTGCATCAGAGACAACTGATGAGGCAGCTTTTCCGCGTCAAGAAAATGCACAGCCTATGGCCACACAGTGATCCAATCAAACACCTTATGAAGCAACTTCTCGACGGCGAGAGCATGCCCAGTTTATGGATAATCAGCGTGCATTAGAGACACATGGAGAAGCAGCTACTCGGCGTCAAGAAAACGCACAACGTTGTCCATACAGCGTGCTATTGAAACACATCATGAAGGAACTTCTCGACGGCGAGAGCATGCCCAGCTTATGACTCATCAGCGTGCATTAGAGACACCTGAAGTAGCAGCTACTCGGCGTCAAGAAAACGCACAACGTTGTCCATTCAGCCTGCCATTGAAACACATGATGAAGGAACTTCTCGACGGCGAGAGCATGCCCAGCTTATGGCTCATCAGCGTGCATTAGAGACACCTGAAGTAGCAGCTACTTGGCATCAAGAAAACGCATAGCTTATGTCCACTCAGCGTGCCATTGAAACACCTGATGAAGAAACTTCTCGACGGCTAAATCATGCCCAGCTAATGTCTAAGCCGCGTGCTTCCGAGACAGTAGATGAGACAAATTCTAGACGACTCGCAGTCGCTCAGCATCAAGCAGAGTGCCGGCAAACATTTACCAGAAATGCTTGGGGGTTATTTGAAAAATGTGGTTTTGAATATGACTTGACATTGGATTACAATAGCCACAGGCTCATTAAAATTTACCGTATGGAAAATGTGTGTCACCATTGTGGGGCATTAAAATGGAATGAGGAAAGAGCGGGAATGTGTTGCTCTGGGGGCAAAGTAGCCATTCCTGTTTTAGAAGAGCCTGTGGAACCCTTAAATACATTATTTACAGGTGAAATTGATGAATCTTGACGGTTCTAAAACTGCGTACAACCCATGCTTTTACATGTCGTCGTTCGGGGCGGACAAAGGACAATGGCGAACTCCCATACAATTTTTTGTTGAATTTTTTTTTGCGTCTATAAATGAATTGCATTTTAAATTTTAGAGTTTACATTCTTGATTTGATTCATCTTATTTCTTATATTAAAGGAAGTCTGGATTTATAGATATTCTACTTTGAAGTTTTGGAGGTTATGTCCTACCAAGTAATGCAAAAACGAATTATAAAAGTATTTTCAAGAGTATTTTTATATCAAAATAAAAAATACGTGAAACGGAACTATAGAAGTACACCGATCCTGAAGATTAGTGACGAAAAAAAATGTTTTTTAAAATGTATGATCAGTTGGCTTTCTTTCTTTCTTTCTTTCTTTGGCGTAGGTACTGACCAACCGCGTCAAAATACTTATTATCAGACAAGAGTTATTGAGTTCAAATACAATGTCTGTGCTGTAAGAAGTACTTAAAAATTTGAAAATGCCCACTGCAATAATAAAGTATAAAAAAGGATTTCTAATAATGTACTAATGGGATATTAATTAAATATGCAACACTTTTTATATATTTTTTATTCCACATCGTTGATCACAATATCGTAGATAGTAGATACAATGAAATAAAATACACAATATGGGACAGAATCGTGTCCAAAATCCACAGCAAAATATCAGATTCGGAAGTCTTAGGCAAGCACTACTCAACAGTCGCAGAGAAAGATTTCGAAAGTCCAAATACAGACCAAGTCACAAAAAAAACAAATCTCAGAAAAACACAATACGCCGATTAATATCTTTGCAATATGCATGCACAGCACAAACAATGTTAAATAATGATAACAATAAGGGGGCCATGCTAATCTTCTCTGTATCGTTCCAATTTTAGTATATGTACTGCCGAAGCAAGTACATGATAACAATAACAACAATTCGATGACAAGCATGACAGTGACAGTTATAGTTTTTTTTCGTTAGAATTGTCGCCATACTCTTTTTGTATTGTGGAGGTTATTTAATATGGTTTCAGTATAATATTGAAAAATAATGTTTCCCGATATTTTTGATAGATAATTAAATACAGTTTAAGCATAAAGCGATGCAAAACATACGAACAACATATTTAAAGTTGATTTCATCACTAAAATCACTTAAAATGAATGGCTCAAAAGCCATCATGGCCAAGCCACAATAAAAATAAAAAATAAATAGTCAATTGTGTTTCCCTTTTTTTAAGTTTTTAATTCCAGACCAGACCTTCCTCAATTGTTAAATAAATCTTTTGAGATTATTTTATTAACATTTCTGATAATGAAATCTATAGAAGCTATAGATTTACTTCAACAAATATTTCGCCATTGTCCTTTTTGCAATGCCTGGATTTTCCCCAACGTTCACAGTGCATGGCCAACTACATCACAAAATGGGTGATGATCACCTAATGAACAGCCAAAATTTTATAGGTGTATTTTATGGGAGACGACGACGCGGAATCTGACAAACGGTGTCAAATCATTCCAGGTATGGAACGAGCAACTGTGCCAGGAAGACGAGTTTGCTCGCACGTGGAATGCGTCACGAAAACAATGGAACGTTGCGTGCAGGGCGCACCCGTCGACGGTTGGCCTGGTGTGAAAGCCTTAGATGCCCACGGTAGAATTTATACCGTACACATAATACATTTTGAGTGCTATTGTGTACGGTTGCTGTTGCTATTACTAGAATCCGGGGTCCTACCAGTTTTCAAGCGCTCAAAATCGTCGATGGGCAGGAAAAGGCCACTTTTCAAGAAGCATGTGAGGCGATGAAGCTGCTTGAAGACGACGGCCACTGGGATGCAACGATGGAGCGCGCAATGTTGTGCCGGTCAGCGACTACGTTGAGAGAGCTCTTTGCGATTATGCACCTGCGGACTCTCCAACCCCCGGCAATTGTGGTACAAGTATAAAAAGCGCTTTGTCAGAAGATATTGCTCGCCGATACCAAGGGATCATCATCATCATCAGCCTATTAATGTCCCCACTGCTGGGGTACCGGCCTTCCCTATGGATGGAATAGGGAGATTGGGCCATGACCCACCGCGCGAGCCCAGTGCGGATTGGTGGGTGCTAACGACTGCAGATGCAGCCGGGACCAACGGCTTAACGTGCCTTCCGAAGCACGGAGGAGCTCGAGATAATTAATTTTTGGTCACCCATCCAATGACCGACCACTGCGAAAGTTGCTTAACTTCAACGATCGCAGCTGAACGCGCTAACCACTTGCGCCATCGAGCTCCTCGACAAGGGGTAACACTAGACATAATTTTTAAAGAAGCGCTGAAAGTCTTTTTTCTTGGACGCTCCAGGGGGCACTGGCAAGACTTTTTTTAATGAACTTGCTGCTGGCACAGTTGTGCAAAGACAAAGTGGTTGCGCTGGCTGTTGCAGCCTCCAGAATAGCCGCAACCTGGCTGAGTGGTGGCAGAACCGGACACTCAGTATTCAACCTTCCGCTGAAACTTGCAAGTGAAGAAACGCCCATTTGCAACATCAGTAAAAGTAGTAGTTGTGGTGCTCTATTGCAATGGTGCAAATTGATCGTATGGGACCGAATCGAATCTTTCTTGGTGGAGTGGTCGTATTGCTGGCAGGTGTTTTTCGACACATTTTATTTACGCAGAAAACAATAAGTCCCGCATTGTGGTGGATTTCTAGGTCTCGCTCTACGACCCGAGACAAAAAACAATTACATAAGACAGCATGATCATCTCTCCCGTTCTGTCAGTTATCAAATTTTGTAAATTGATCTTTTCGATGTTTAAGTTTAAATTATTTTGCTTCTAAAAATGTGAATAGTCATTGTTTTTACTGTTAATACACAATTTATTTTCTCTAATAAGCCGCGGGTAACACCGCGGGGCACAGCTAGTGTATAATAAGGTAGACTGGAATTGATTTGCGAAGCTAAAAAGGTAAGAAGCTTAAAAGCAAAATGTCAAAGCAAGCATTAATAGGTATTTAGTACACAATGCACTAGATGATTACACACGAACAACAGCTATCCATCACAATGAAGGTTGCAGTGTGGACGCATGCCACATTGATATTGCAGATTCGGCGGAATTCGTGTAAAGTCCTCTTATATGGCAATACTTTACTCTTGACTGAAGATGTCAATTGATTTTGACAACTTCAATGAAGTTGTCAAAATGAAAATTGTGAGCTGTCAATTGAAATTGACAATAAGTTATCCACTGTGCGAGGGTATTTAACACCATTACATGTAATAAATATTATTTGCGGGTATTAAAATTGCAACTTATCTTGATTAAAATCTTCCTTAACCGCGGTAATTTTCCTTGGATAACAACTGTGTAGCTCCACTGAGAGATAAACTACACCACAGTAATAAGTTTACTCGAAAAAATGAAAAATTTAACAATTTTAGAAAAAGAACTACGTACTGATTATTAACAGTGACTGGGTTGCCACAACGCTGCCACAACGTATCTAATGAAATATTGAAATATCTTAGAATGAAATGCAATGAAATAATACTTTGTACAAATTAACTTATTGGAAGCTCTGCTGAATGGTCCATGGGTTAATATGTTATCTCTATAGTAATGGCGAGACAAAATGAAATAGAGAATTATTTTTATATTTTAATGGGTATAGGATAATCCCAATTTACCTCGGTGTCGCCATAACTTGAGAATGACTCTAACACTTTGTAGAAAGTTCATACGGAACGGAACTTACAATTGAAGGTACTCGATAGGTGGCGTTGCAGCCGGATTTGAGATGTTTTTATATTTTCCTTGGGCAGGGCGCTTGTCCACTTTTTTTATAAACAAAAAATACGTGTGGCACCCGGGGATTGCCGCGGTAAAGCTATTGCATAGCATTTTTCATCAAATTATGCAATTATAATTATTTATTTATTTTATTTATGCAGTCTTTTTTTTCTTCAAGTTACACTTTTTGAGCGTGGTGACCGACAAGATTTTTTTTTCTTTTATTAAATAACTGAGAAGTTAATATTGTTTAAAATATTTTGATAATCTTACATGCGAGCTTCGTACAGTCGTACCATATACATGCACGTTAAGATTTAACTAGTCGCGAGCTGGAACTTACTCGTGGACACGGCCAAAAAGCACGCTGTCCCACCTAGCATTGTGTCTAAAAGAGATAGAATCAGTTATGAGCAGTTAGCAGCTAGTCTACACGCTTACGTCTTGTCGCACGCACACTAAAACCGTGCCGAAGTCTTTGATTAAAACAAAAAGGGTAGATACGGTACGCTCATACTTGCATCAAACAAAAACTGATCCCACGGCAGCGCGAACGGGACGGCGAGATCCGCGTCACTGCATTACCGACCCGAACGAAACAGCACGTTAAGTTTCAACGGCAGTGGGAACAAGACGGCGGGATCCGCGTCACTGCACTACCGACCAATCACGCGACCAGTACTCGACGTCACTACCGAATAAGATTCAAAACAAACAGCAATTTTTATGAAAAAATACATTTTA